GGGGGCGGGGCTTCGGGTTGCGTGGTGCTGGGGGGGCGGGGATTTCGACAGCGCTCGTGGGGGTTACGGCAGGGCGGCGCTCTTCTTTTTTGCCTGGGGCGGCAAAAAAGTTAGAGCCAGCCCTGATCCTGCATGGTCACAGAGTCTCAGGAAGTGGAACTCTTAGTTCTACTGTGCAAAGTTAGGGCAGGAGTGGGAGGGCCAGATGTGGGGTACATAGCACTCACATAGGTAGAGCCCCATTCTTTGGAGGTTCCTTGCATGGCACAAGCACAGAGTGCATGACTAGAGTCTTGCCACTTCAGGTATCCCCAGCCCTCTGAAGAGGGCATGTAAATCTATTGCAGCAAATATGGTTAAGCAATCTTTGTGGCCTGTGAGGAAGGATTCCCCTTCCCTTACTCTCCCTGTGTATCTTCCCAGCACCCAGCTACTTAGGCTGGACACTGCTCTGAGGATTTTGCCCATAGTGGACAAAACATTTTTATCATGCTATTTTATTTGTTGAGCTAGAAGTGATTAAAGCTACACCGTATTTAAATATTATAGTGCACTAACCTTCCCTGTATTCTGGCAAAAACAGCACTGAAAAATGCCAGCTGCTTTCTTCTGTCTTGTGGTGGCTGCAGTGTGGAGAACTGAGCTGTGATATCTGAGTCAGCAGCTTCTGTCAGCTTCCTCCTCTGTTTCCATAACAGCATAGTTGAGTCTCCAGCACAGAGTGCGAATAGAGAAGTGCCTAACAACTGTTTCCTCTTTACAGCATTTCCTGTCGTTTGCTATGGTCTCACCACAGCTTTCACTGCTACGTACTGTATTTTTGGTTTCTATTCCCTCATACATATTTGAGTCTCTGAACTCAGCACAAATGTCACTGCAAGCCAGGCCTGCCACCATATTATGCTCCTGTTGACGGGCACTTCTGGCAGTATTTGCAGCATCCTTCTAATCAGATGGTCAGTCATGCTGATCTACAACGCTGTGCACTTACATCCAGGACATCAAGCAGGCTGAGTAGTACCAGGGACACAGCGTATCAGATGAATCAATGTCTTGAGTAGTTTTGCTGCGAAGGATGTGCTAGCTAGTTTTTCATAAATGGTGATATAATTCTCAAATGTAGGGGCTGGGCCAGGCTTCTTGTGTTGGTAGGAAAAAATACTGCTTGTGAAGGGGGATGATCAATGTTGGTATAACTATATTCTCTCTCAAGGACAATTTTTAACTCTGCTGTTGGCCAACTTCATATACAGCTCAGTTTTTACAACACTGAGGAAAAAACAGCGAAAGCCTTCCTTTCTCCACTCATTCCTCCCACCTTTCCCTCCATCCCAGCTGCTCATGGTCTGCTTGCAGCAAAGAGGAAGGTGCAGACAGGACAGTGAGTCTAGTGAGTGCTATGAAATAACACCCCCAAAAAATCAGCCAGGCAGGCCACTGCTTGAGAAGACTCTACTGCTCAGAGTACCAGGGGAAACTCCGAAGCAGAAAGCACCCTCAGACTGTCAAGAGTTAGGAACACAAATTCCACAAGTCTCACAGAAGGCAGAAAAAAGTCAATACTGCATTGACATGACATTTATAAAAGTGTAACATCAGCGCAACAAGGCAATGGAATGTGGCATCTCAAGGGAAAGCACTCCCACAGAGTAATAATTATAATTCTCTGTACTTTCCACGCCTCTTCTTACAGATGAACAAACTGAAGCATTGAGAGGTTAAATGACTTGCCTGAGGCCTTGCAGTTTGTAAGTGGTGGAGTTGGGACTAGCACCCAGGTCACCTGAGTTGCAGGCCCCTACTCTAGCCACTATACCATGCTGCATTCCTGTGTACAAAGAAAACAGTGCATCCTTGTACAGCTTGTCACAGTTATTTGTGGTCTCATGAAGCCATGCCCCTTCCATTTTGCCACAACTGTACAGCTGAAAAGGCCTCCATAGAAATGTAGAGGAAGAAATATTTTATGTGAAGGTTTGGAGACCATTATAACCTGGTGAAATGACATGACATGATACTTAAGTAATTGTATCCTCATTGTCCTAGGCCTTTGATCCCACTACTGCTTGCCTTTAAACTTTGTAACCCAGGCTAGAAATCTTGGAGTTATGCTTCTGCATGGGTGGGCCCTCCTATCCCTCACACTATTGTAAAAGGGCCCATGATAAGGTGGGCAACTCCCAGCTCTGTCAGGCTCTGGAGCCCATTTATGGTACTACATGCCTCCATTGAGGGAGGGAGAGGGAGTCATGTGAGATGGAAACAAGGGTTTTCCCTTCCCCGCAGGGGCTGAAAGCATTACCTCTGCTGATCCAGAGAGCTTAGAACCCAAACTTTGTTCTCTCCCATTTGGTTGTGTAAAAGGCTGCCACCAGGGCAGCCCCACAGCCTCTTCCCCTCCCTCTATTCTCTTGTCTCTATATGTGCCTGTCTCCAGGACAGAACTAACATTGATCCTTAGCCTAGTCCTGTCTGTGCCCAGAGATTTATGCATCCTTAATCAGATCTTGTCTCAGCACCTGTGATGCCTACTGTTATGGTCTCTCTCTCAATCCCTACCCTCTGAATTTCTGCTGCAACCAAGCTACTCCCAATCCTGCACGTGGATCACACCATTCCCCTACAAATTCTATCCATTTCCACGTCCAACTGAAGAGAGCTCTATCTTCCAAAACACTCCAGGGCCCCATTCCAATCTACATTCCTGACCTCAAATTCCCTTACTGTTCCACACACTCATCCTACTCCTCTAGTCTTGCTCAATGAGACTCTCCTGTTGATACCAAATTATAAATTGGGCAAATCTGCAGTGTAGGATGTGAATTCCTGTGTGCAATGTGTTTACCAATAATATCAGTGAAAGATCTGATATAGGAAGTTCTCATTCTGGTGTGGTGTTGTAGGTTGTATTTTTGCATGAGGATGGAATGGCTGATCTATCCAATAGGTTTTATTCCCCATGTACAACTCCTTTGATCTTATTTTAGGTACTTTCAGACTAGCACTTCCTGCAATATTAGAGAGAGTCATTGAACAGTAGCTGACCATGCTAAGAGCTGGAACTGCCACTCTTACCTGGAAAAAGATTCCCAGATTAAAAAAAATTAAATTATATCCCAGATTATACACAGTAAAGCAGAGCTCACCAAGCCCATGCAAATGGTGTTCTTGCCATTATCAGACATAAGTACTAAAATATGTTTAACTCTCTTTTCTAGGGTTCATCTGTGTGTCAGGTGACAACTATAGGCGTGACCGTTATACTACTATATACCTCAAGAGCCTGTTACAACTTATTCATCTTATCATTTTCGCAAACCAAGGAAGTCAATTCTTTTGATTATGATTGGTACAATGTATCAGATCAGGCAAGTATGATGTTTACTGCTAACCAGGAAAACTGATCCTGTATAGTCAGAATTGACAACAAACAAGAACTAATATAATAAAATCCTTTGGAATTTTTTTAAATTTAAAAAAAATACACCAAGTTTGTTCTGCTCCAAGAATATGATCTTTTCAACAGTAAAATGGTTAGGGAAAAATAATCCAGTCAGAAGAAAAAGCAGTCACAAAACCAACAATATAAAAAACTTACCTTCCGGTTATTACACTTTATTTACATTTATTTTTAAGATTTAGAAAGGCAACTCCCCTCTATTAAAAACAGGTGTATGGGATTTGTTTTATTTTTTACCTTTACTGAAAGAACTGTACTGAATAGTTTGAATCATATTTGGGTAGCAATGGAGACAAGTAGGTGACTCCATTTACAATTTAAACACATGGGCAAAATTCTGGCTCCTCTGAAGTCAATGTCAAAGCTCCATTGACTTCAGTGTGGCCAACTCCCCCCTCCTCCCCCCCCCAAAAAAAGAAGTGTTTTTCCTGCTCTATCAATAAAAGCGAGAATAGCTGTGTGTTCCCTTCACATAGCACCAGTTTTAACATATGATGATGGGTCAAGTTTTAATTAAACCAAAATAACAGCTAAGACTGAATGGTGGGGTTTTCAAATGGTGGTTCACTCAGTTCCTGTTGAATTTCAATGGGAGTTGAATGCCTCTGTCCCTTAGGTTCTTTTGAAAATCCCAGCCTTTGACCTTAGATGTTTACATCATTTAAAAGTAAACAGGATAATGTTCAGGTCCCAGTACATGGGTGTTGGCTCAAAATCAGGGGAGTGCAATGAAATGGGAGGTGCCGTATCCTATCTACATTCCTGGTCCATGTGCTTCCCCTAACCTGCCATGAGGTTTCATGGGACGTGGCAGCCTGTGATGCCTCTCTTACATAAAGGCCTAATTCATTCTGAATTTAGCAAAATATGAAATGCAATGCTAGCAATGGTGGGTGCCTTCATTTTTGGGTGCCCATGTCTACACAACATTTTGGAGCCATTGGGAGTGAGCCTCCCTACCCTGGTCAACAGACTCAGGCTAGTGGGGCTTGTACTGAACTCAAAAGATTGTAAGTTGTTTGTTTCTCAAAGCCTGAAAGAGTTTAGAAAGCTAGTATCTTATTTTCTCACTTTCTTGACAGTGTAAGAGCCTTGCAGGCAGTCACAAGGACTTAACTATTCTCTGTAGCTTTTGGGTAGGGGAGAAAAACACCGTCAGGAGGAGGAGGATCATTTAAAAAGGAGGAAGGGAAAGGTATTGTACAAAATAAAATAGAATTTTGTATCTTTCCAAAGGGGGTTTTATCATTAAGAATTTATAGCCAGGTTAATCTGCTGCTTTACTTTTATACGCAGCTACTGGATGTTCCATCAGATTCCCTAATGCTTACATACATTTAGAGTCATAGACTTTAAGGTCAGAAGGGACCATTATGATCGTCTAGTCTGACCTCCTGCACAACGCAGGCCACAGAATCTCACCCACCGACTTCTGTAACAAACCCCTAACCTATGTCTGAGCTATTGAAGTCCTCAAATCGTGGTTTAAAGACTTCAAGGTGCAGAGAATCCTCCAGCAAGTGACCCCTGCCCCATGCTGAAGAAGAAGGTGAAAACCCCCCAGGGCCTCTGCCAATCTGCCCTGGAGGAAAATTCCTTCCCTGACCCCAAATATGGCGACCAGCTAAACCCTGAACATGTGGACAAGACTCACCAGCCGGACACCCAGGAAAGAATTCTCTGTAGTAACTCAGATTCCACCCCATCTAACATCCCATCGCAGACCATTGGGCATATTTGCCGCTAATAATCAAAGATCAATTAATTGCCAAAATTAGGCTATCCCATCATACCATCCCCTCCATAAACTTATCAAGCTTAGTCTTGAAGCCAGATATGTCTTTTGCCCCCACTACTCCCCTTGGAAGGCTGTTCCAGAACTTAAGTCCTCTGATGGTTAGAAACCTTTGTCTAATTTCAAGTCGAAACTTCCTGATGGCCAGTTTATATCCATTTGTTCTTGTGTCCACATTGGTACTGAGCTTAAATAATTCCTCTCCCTCCCTGGTATTTATCCCTCTGATATATTTATAGAGAGCAATCATGTCTCCCCTCAGCCTTCTTTTGGCCAAGCTCTTTGAGTCTCCTTTCATAAGACAGGTTTTCCATTCCTTGGATCATCCTAGTAGCCCTTCTCTGTACCTGTTCCAGTTTGAATTGCACCAGAACTGCACACAGTATTCCAGATGAGGTCTCACCAGTGCCTTATATAACGGTACTAACACCTCCCTATCTCTACTGGAAATACCTCACCTGATGCATCCCAAGACCT